ATGGTAAAATGACATTGCTTATCCCTCAACTTTCAATTTTTATGCACTTTGATCCTCAAAATTTATATTCAATTTAGCTCTTAATTTCAACTTTTTTTATTTCAAATTAATCCCCAAACTTTTGAAAGAGTGACACTTAAGTCTTAAAATTTCTAATTTTGTTTCTTTTAGTCCTTTTTCACAAATAATAAAATTCAATAAAATCACATTCAACTTAGTCAAATATTTTTAAAATTAAGGCTAAATTATAAATTAAAATATATAGAATTCAACTAATCAAAGTGAAAAATCAAGTTTATGATACTCAATTTGATGTCCTTTAAAAAAAATAACTCTCTATATACACTTAACACACACAAAAAAAAAAAGTAATAACATTATGATAAAAAAGAGTAAATATGTTTTCTTTTCCTTATTATATACTTGAAGTTTTACAAAGAATGTCAAAAGTTATCACCAATCCATTGTGTTCGCATAGTCACATTTATCACATACTCACAAATCATAGCCACATTCTCTGCAATTTCACTATTTTAGTTGTAGCTCTTCATATGATTCCAAATTAGATAGCAAAGATTTTTTTTGGGACAAGTGTGTGTCAAAAACTTGATTTTGTACTTTGACGATATGAAATTTATATATTTTGGTTTACTATTTTAAGCTTGATTTTATTGATACTTGAATCAATTGAATACTTATGTATTTTTTTAGAAGTTACATGACTTTTATTATTTGAAAAAAAAAAAAAGAATCAGAATGCATGAAATTAGAAATTTTGAGATTTAAGTACTTCTCTTTCATAAGTTTAGGAACCAATTATAATAAAAAAAAAGTTAATTAGAGATCAAATTGAATAAATCTAAAGTTTTAGGATCAAAGTACATAAGAACTAAAAGTTAAGGGACCAAAAAATGCTATTTTACCATTAAAATTTGAAGAATTTTAACGTATGGATGGACCATGTTATAACAACTAGAAGAAGGCTGTGCCATCAAAGCTGAACTTTTTGCTATATGAAAGGATACGGCGCTCACTGGGCGTTAGACCTGGTAAAATTAGTTCTAATCCGAAAATTTGACTCAATCGATTCATTATAAGTAGGGTTATGGATCCTATATGTTAATCTAAAATTCGAAATAATTCAGATTGAAATTATCTAAATTCAAATGGATTGAGTCACGGATGGGTCAAGTCACTTGAAATGATTTGAACTTTTATTTATTTATTTTATTAAATTATTTAAAAATCAATTTTTTATTTTTTATTTCCTAATCCTAAAAGTAGAAATAAATAAAATACATAAATCCTAATCTCTCATCAATTTCACTTTCTCTCAACTTTCCTCTTCTCCACTCTCACTCTCCCCTTCTTCATCTCAAGCTCTCAATCCTTCTCCTTGGTGGCACTCACATAAAAAATTAGATTATGTAATATATAGTGAATTATGTTATATGACATCGTAAAAAAGATCATTTTTTAAAAATAAAAAGTAAGAATACCTACTGAAAATTAAAACACAATGGATAAGATACCCTCATAACCATTATAAGTACAAAGACAAGAACATTAAAAACATCAAAGTCCGTTCTTAGTTGCTAATTTGTTCCTAATTAATAAATATCAATTCCGATCCAATTTCTTTTTGTATTTGGTTAAATAAGGCTATCTTTTTGTATAATGCCCTCTTAAATATTGAATAGAGTTGTATTTTTTATATAATACTCTTATAAATATTGAATAGGCACTATATATTAATATATATATAGTGGATTTGTCTATTGAACTCTAATTATCCATGTCTCTTCTTTTAATGAAAGTTAATACCTTTATGAAATTATGAATTCTAAATATTGTATAAGTATTATATATTTAACATATATTTTAAGTCCACCTATATAATCACTAATATTTTCTTTTTCTTTTCTTGAAATTGGAAAAAAAATTGAATTATGAAATAGAAATTAACATTTAATAAGTTTTTTTAACTAAATAGTTAATTAGTTATAAAGTTTTTTAATTAAATAGTTAATTAGTATTA